TGTTAGACGGACCCAAGGATTCTTTTCCGTAAGTTCGCAATAGTATACGGTGTTGGACTGAACATTTAGTGTAGGTTTCTCCTAAATTTAGAGTCAGTGGACTAGTCCAATCGGGGGGAAACCACTTAAAAAAAAAAATCGTGAAAAGTTCCGCTTTAAAAGTTACACCCATCCCCCTTTTTTCCTATCCCTTTTCTTTTTTAACTCTTTTGTATCCCTTTGTTTTCTGTTGCAGATTGGACTACGGTAAGGAAACTACCACAGGTGGACCAAAGGAGGGCTATATAAGAACAAGAAGTGGACTTGGTAATATAATAGTATAAAATAATTATTTGTATAAATAAAATGAAAATTTGCATCTTCATATAATTCTCTTTGTAGCATCGAACGTGTTTGATAATTATTTATAATGTATATTCTTTATTTATAGGTTCCATGAAACAAATCATAATTGTATACTCTTTTTAATTATTATACTTTACTTTATGTAGATTGAAAATTATGTATATARATSTATATAGATTGTATTTCTATAAGTTGAAGTTATTCTAGGGTGTATTAGTTTTAAGTAACATCGATGATTCTATTGAATTTCTTTTCAGATTACACTTCTTGTTTATCTCATTTTGTATTTTTTAGTATTGAAATTTTTCTCTGGTATTTTCGATAATAATTTTAACGATTTTTCGGATGGTACTCTTATGGTGGGGCCTAAGAGTTAGGTTCATTCCTTTGAATTGTATTCGGATGTGAGCATCTTTAGGATGCACATCCCTCTTGGGTCTTCAGAAGCGGTTACCTCCTCGAGGTTAGACCCGGGCAATGGATATTACTTTCCGTGTAATGTTTATCATATTTTTATATGCTCTACATTCCATGGCAAGTGAAATCTAGCTAAAGACCGCTTATCATTAATATTATAATTGTAATTAGTTTCTTTCATTTTTTTCCTAATTAAATATTACATTTTAATTTATTTCATTATTTTTTAGGAACTTTAATCATAAACATTCTTTCAGCTTTTTTTGACGTGCAGTGCTGTGCAGTGCTAATATAATTTTATTCCTGTTACAAGTGATCATCGTTCGATGTAACAACAAACCTTTGAGATTTGTTTTATTTAAATGCTTTAAATGACTATTTTTGAATTGAAAACTTCTTTAGAATGGGTGTGTATTGAAAAAATGAAACATTCTCTGGAAACTTAGTTTTTTGGAAGGTTTCACTTCTAAACGTGTGATCTGCCCGACGAATGATATTTTTTAAATATATGTATAAATGTGCATTTCTGAAGGCACTCATATGTTTATACACTAATAATTAAATATAATATTCTTAAAAATTCTATTATACAATATAACTGTACGATATACTATCATATCCTATCAAAGAATATTGTATTCTTTGATAGGATTGTATCGTCATCGTGTTAAGTACCTACTATCGCCCACTGGTGATCGTGGTAGTAACTAAGATGAATCTTGTTAGAAAAAAAAATGGACTTGCAAGCTTCTATGTACTTCTGAATTTTTCGATCTGGTACCGCGTACTGTATTACCGATCCCGTAGAATAAAAACTAATCAAGGTACTAATTTCAATAGAAATTTTAATCACTGCATTTACGATTAAATTTTGAAAATACTTTATTTATAATAACACATACATATTATAGATAGTTTGGATATTTAATTAAGTATAAAACTAATTAAACAATTGAGAAATAATATAATCTACTGCGAGTACATATATGTGAATACGTGCAAACATAAATACTTACGTTATTCTTTATGATATTTATTTATATACTTAACGAGCATTTTTCTCACTTTTTATCAATGATTATTATCATTTTAGATGATTATTAATATATATTAATATATATATATGTATATATATCATAATTATGTACATCTGTATTTTATTTATAACAAAATATCTTTATATTTATCTTAAGAATAATTTTACATTTTGGAACATTTATATCAATTCTTTTACAACAATAAAAAATAAAACACTTTTTTTTAAAAGACAATGCACTATGTTCCAAGTTGCACAAATATAAAATGAACATATAGAAAATCAATGAACAAAGTGGGATTCTACATCCAACAATTGCATGTTTACTTTATTATATTTTTTAATTTGAAAAAAAAAAAAAAAAAAGAGGAAAGAGAACTGTCAGTAGCAAATATATATAATATAGATAAATAACATTAAACATTACGTATGCATGGTATATACTTATACACATATATATATATAATGACCCGATGTACTTTCAGGGCTACTAAATACATGGTTAAAGAAAAGCTATCAACTGCTCAGAGTGGAATGCTTTATAGATTTTTATACGACGAATTGTTTATTTATATACAAATTATTTACTATAAATGCATCAATGGAAGAGTGCACATTATGGAAACATTTTGAAAATATTTCTGAAATAAATTCATTACAAATGTCATAAATAGTATGAAAGTGCTTCTTACTTAATGAAAGGTCGAGTAAAATATACACCTTTTGGCGATTAAAATATAATTATATCGTGTAATAATTTATAAAATGTATAATCTTTGCTTCCATCAATGCATAATATGAGTTTAAGTTAAACGCTTGTAAATGCTAAGTTTATTTTTTTTTTTTTATAAATAATCTTTGAGCCATTAGCAAAGGGAAAATAGAATTCTCTAGATGATATTAAAAACTTGTACGTATGAAGACATTTTCACCTTCACTGTACCACTTAGACCCGTCTCAAAATTGTTAGTTTGTTGAAAAATGATGACAGCATTTGTAGATTGATATTTTTGTAAATAGTTCATTATATCAACAGTAACGATATCATTTATCCTTTTCTTTCACATTTATCATCCTTTTAAGCCATTCTGATACTTTGAATTATTTGAAAGATGGCTGAAACAAATGAAATTAAAAATATAAACAAATATCTATGTAAGTATATGGATTTATCTCTTTTAATAGGTTCACGTAAATACTTACCTGACCCGCAAACAACAAATATGAAAAGTGCTAATAACCATGGTCCAACTGGTGATCCTTCATCTTGTGGTTTCTAATACATAGGATAGATACATATATTTTATTTATTTATTAAAAAAAAAAAACCAAAAGTTAAGTACAAGAGGAATAATCTAAATATAATTTTAATAAGGTTACACATTTTAATTATTTTCATATAAAGAACAAATGATTATAATCTTTAAATGTTATTGTTAAATTTGAGTATTTAATGTGTCAAATGTTTCTAATGAAAGTTCTTTTAATATTGTTACATATGGCAGTGACTACCGTAGTATCATCAATATATTAACTTTTAAAACCGACATATACAAAACACGAGTCATCGAATAAGTTTAATTGTAATATTTCTATGCAATAGAATTTTACAGTTAACAGATAAAACCGATAAACATACATGCGATACGTCTATCACAGATGTTATCAATTATAACCTCAATATATTCGATAATTCGTTTGTTAAGGGATATGTCAAATTTTTAACTACCTTATGCTACTCATAATTATTTCATATAACAAATAATAAACTAAACAAAAGATATAAAAAACGATATTTAGACTTACCGATGATTTCGGTACATTTCCACGAAGATTGATATTCTTCGTGGCTTTTTCGTTGGCGATGCGCATTCTCTGTTTCGGTGCCATTTCGATTGTTTTTTCGTTTACCGAAAAGGTTAGTTTATTAAAAAAACGAATTAAAAATTTGTTTAAACAATTAAGTTAAATTAAATGTAACCGAATAAAACGTCTTTTGAATTCTGTAGACGTGTATGTTGTGTGTCGTAGTTTCACTTATATCTCATGCCAACCGCGTCGACGTGTGCGCCCCGACACGTGAATGGATCAAATTTTATGACAAATCAACGTATTCTGCCACACAGGCACTACTGAAGTCAAATCAGCGACGTGGCTACTTTTAAATATATAGGTCTTTTTAAAAATAAATAAATTATATTAATTTATTATATTTTTAAATATTAATCCGTGATAAATAGTAACAAAATAATATAAAAAGATGTATATTTAATAAAATTTACATGGAATTATTAAAATGACACTTTCTTTCCTATATTGATAAGATTAGAAACACTTTTCTTTTTCTTTATTTAATACATATCTTTTCTTATTATTTTATTTTATATAAAATAATTCGGATTACTTTATAGCACAATCGATATTGTGTGATATGATATTATTAAATTTTTTCACACACACACACATACACAATTCACATTTATAGCATATATTCTTATGATAGTATAATATGAAAGAATGAGATATACACGAAATAAAGTTTTACGTAGAAATTGTATATTTTGTCTATCTTTTGCGTATAATAACAAATTATCCCATCATTCAATTATTTTCATTGATATCCTTCACTCAATAATATTCGTTTCAAGAAAATACAATCAGTACAATTTCTTATTCCGATACCATTAAACAATACAAATGAATATGTTTCTATTTATCCTTATCTTTGTTTTATTAATCCTTGTTCAATGAAAAAAAATGTAAATATCGTCATTTTTCTTTTTTTCTAAGAACTTTCTATAGTACTGTATTAATTTCTGTTATTTAAGCAATAACGCAACAAACATAGCTGGATAAATAACATTATACAAGTATATTATAAAATTCTTAAAGAAGCAGCAATAATAATGTCATATATATATATAATTATATCTGTTGCTTAGTTTTGTCTACCTACTTAAATATAAATTAGTATAATTTTAGTGATTATTTATAATATATCATTGTATAATTAAGAAATTAGTATTTAATTTATACATTTTGTCAAAGCGCTTGTATCAAAGTACAATTGATTGTTATAATGTATAAGTATAATAACGAATAATAATAATAGTAATATATTAGCATTTTATTAATAATTATAAACAATATTTACTTTCAACAGTGGTACTGTACTTGTTAATATGTACTTGCATTGGAAACAATAACAAAAAAGAAAAGAAAAAAAAGAGGAAAAACAAATAAAATAATATCTAGGAAGCAGGTTCGTTTATTCTATGTAGAATATTTAATGTATTATTAGAACATTTATTAGGACATTATTACTTTTCTTTTCTCCCACACAGGATGTTTTTTTTTTTTTCTAAATTATATATTACCATAACAAGAAATAAAATAATCTTTGTAGAAAATATCTTTAATGCAGAACAAAATGATTGAATTATGTTGCGTAGAATGGAAGTATACGTACATAAAATTGTATTTTTAAAATAAATTTCAAATTTACAATATTTAGAATCTAATGAAATTTTGTCTATAAGAAGCAAATTGTAACGTTTGTATCTGCACAATTTAAAAAATCTACCATTCTTATGACATCAATTTAGTCTGATCATGATATTCTTTAGATTTTATAATCATATAATTATAGAATAATCATGATCATTGCCGTATCAATCATTCATCGCGAACTGTTCTCGATTAGAATGCGAACCCATTATGAATTAATAATCATATGAATATGATATATTTAATAATAAATTACACTTGTTTTATTATCAAACATTATTTCGTTGTAATTAATATTATTATCATTATTCTTATTATTATATATGTTGATACCTAAAAAAAAATTAATATATTCGTCAGAAAGAAACATATATATATATATATATATTTTTTTTTATATAACCAAACGGAAATACTGTCTTGTAAAAACACATCACACGTTCGCAAATGTTCATCACCGAGAGCAGTACGCCGTACGAATCAAGTTCCTACTTTTTTAAATCCCACAGTACATAAATTTCACTAAAACTGCATTAGTCTATCTTGACTATAGAATAAATTTTTCGTACAAACGCACTAGTACCAATGTAACCAACTGTACCACACATTATACCTAAGACCAGACTGAATAGTGCCATATATCCAAAGTAAAATGCTGTTTGGAAGAGACCATACATTCTGAAAAGAAATAAAATAAACATTTTAACTTAGAAAATATAAACAAACATCTTTTTTTTTTATATATACTTACTTAGTCTTAAAAAAGAAATAATAAAATGAATAAATGTACACATATCCTGCTGTTGAAGCTGCTGCAAGAAAACTTGTCCATTGCCTGTAATAAAATATATCTCATGAATAAATTCAAGTAAACATAATTCATATAACACATAACACAAAAGTATCATAAATACCATCGATAATCTTCAGCATTCAATAAGAAATATGTACATACAATAGTGACACAAACGGTCACTATCATTAAGATGATAAACACTAGCAACATGAAACCATAAACGTAATAAATTTTATATGCCCAGAAGGAGGTGAAAATAAAATACATTTCAATGAAAATAGATCCGAATGGTAAGATTCCACCAAGCATTATTATAACCAATGGTTCCATGAACCATTTTTTTTCTGGTATTGGTCTTGGAACTGCATTTACTCTACATGGTGCATCGGGTGTTCCAGCAAGATTACGTCCCAAAATAGTGCCCACTAACGTAAGTGGTAAAATGACAAATATACAAATACATGTCACTGCCACCTATGAAAATAATATAAAGTTTTATCAAAGGACTGATAATTATAATAGAATACCAGATCACATTATATTCATAAAAGATATTTACCATTGAACCGAAAGGAATAGCTCTGCTAGCATGATAGTACATGGCAATAAAATTAATGAAGAATGCAGTTCCACAAACCATAATTGGTAGCATAAACGCGCTAAGGATCATTTGTTTGATCCAAACACGTCCACCCATTCGTGCGTACAAACCACCACCTGCATAACCGTTTATGGGTGAGGTGGCTGCATAGACGAATATTGCAGTTGATAGCATAGAACCTCGTTCTGTATAAAGTTCACCGAGAATGGCAAAAATAATTACACTGAGGACAACAACAGTAACCTGTAATACAAATATATTAAATAATCTATTTATTCTCGTTTAGATTTATTCAGATATTATAAATTTAATTAAGTACTTGATATCCGGTTCCTATGAGAGCTGAAAATAGCATTGCGTGACTAGCTGGACGAAAAACATCTCCATGTACTTGCTTCCATCCATATTCATCTCCCAAATCTCTTTCCATATCATCCATTTCTTCATCTTTGCTGTATCTCGCATAATCCTTTCTTAAAGTTCTCATCAATATCATGGATACAAGTCCAACAAGGAAAATAACCATCATAAAACTATTAAAGATGCTGAACCAATGAATCTAGAGAAAAAGAAATATAATATTATAAAATTTAATGATGTAAACAATAATGAATATATAATGATGCAAGATCTTACTCTGTGCTGAAAGAAACTAGCATCCAGGTACTTATCAAATCTATCTGCAAATTTAATATTGCTCTTTTTCCAGTTAACTTCATAACTAAATGGTATTTGAGCACCTTGTACAAGTTTAACTTTGTTATCACTTGTTAAATTGACATCGACTATTTGTTTACCATTATATCCTATATCAAATTTTTTGTGCGTCCAAATATAATATGAAACTACCCCATTATTTTCCTCTGGTTCACCCACAACACCTATCAACAGAAAGTATAACCAATAGATAGTATACAAAACATAATTTAATAATAAATAATATTAAATACTGTGAGAATATTACCCCAAATAGGTAAGTCATCAATGTACATTTGATACCAATATTGATTTTTAACAGCATATACAAAAGCCTTCAAACTTTCCTCTGATAAATTTATTTGACAATATTCCATTTTAGAGATATCCGCTAAAGTCAAATGATTTATTTGATTAATTATAATGATTTAATTAAAAAATAATATGCAATGTTTAAATATAATCTGTTATTATAGGAGCTTATATGACATTTACTTACCTTTGTATTCGATATCTAAACCGCTAAACTTTAATTCGATACCCTGAAGTGCTTCTGACAATGTTTCATGATGATGATTGATAACATCTTTCATACCCACACAGAATGGTAAAGAATAATAAGAATATGTCTCTTGCCTGTTATGGTATGGTCCAACCGTACTCATCCATAGTACAACTTCATCATTGTCTTCGTACTAACATTGTAAATGATATGTTATAAATGATCATTGCGTATAGAATTTTATTAGTTAAAAAAGGATCTATTTTCAAAACACATTGTAAAAAATATAATGAATTAATACTAAGAGAAAGAAAAATCTATTTACTGACAGAATAAAATCTTAAAAGATAAGTACTTCTATATTGAGACGGTTGAAGGAATTTGACAATTATAAATGGTCAAGTTTTACTCACGATGTGATTGTGCTCATCCGTGTGAACGAAAGGTAAGAGACTAAGCAGCAAAATATGAAGAAGTAATTGTACCCGACACATCTTCATTTGTGACGGGAAGGCGCACTAGGCGCCTTATGCAAGCATGCAAAGAATATTAAAAATAATTCGACGACAAATGCACCCCATAGATTTGATAAATATGATCAATGCAGTAGAAACATCGGCCGAACGGACACGTATATATATACATATATATGTATGTATGTAACTAAAGATATAATATCACTACAAAATGATGCACGCACACCGCAGTCGGAACTATATGCTTAAAACGTATCATGCACTTCTTTAATCCGGTGCCACGTCAGATGGCTCTTGCATCAAATACAACGGCAACGACATGAAGCTTCGAGCTTTACTATGAAGCTAAATGATTGGTTTTATTAAACCTTTATCGCAATTCGATATAATTTTATGAATCATTTGAGTAGTTCATATCTTTACCGTCGCTATTTATTTCTATTTCCGCTATTTTTGTAAACTATCTTTCAAAATGATTTTTAGCCAATTGATGAAAATTTGATTGTAAAATACGTAGGAAAAATAATAAACCTTTAAATATAGCGCGGGTAATAATTTGTTAACAAAAATTATTTTATTCCTTATTATATAATTTACATTTAATTAAAATATAGTTACTTTTGAAAAAAGTAAGATTTTTGTAAAATACAATAAATAATATATATTTTATTGCAAAAATTGAGAAGATAAATGTATTTATATTCATGATTTGTTTTAGCAATAATAATAATAATAATAATAATAATAAAGAATATTTAATAAAGGTCATTTTCTTATTATTCTTCAGGCCATGGTTTTCCAATACCCTGAGATGCACCCATCCTAGATGGATCTTGACTGGGATAATGTATTGGCGTCGTACCCGGTGGAAAGATAGGAGTTGCAGCAGCTGCCATTTGAGGTGGAAACATAAATTGTGGTGCTACTGGTGGTGGTGGTATCATCATTGGTGGCATCATACCAGGAGTTGTCTGTAGATTAAAGAAATTATTTCCCATGCTTTCTGGAGGCGGTGGTAAAGCGCCAGGCAAACCAGGTACAGGTTCCAAAATTTCTCTAGTTGCTTCTGCAGCTGAAATAGTTTGTCTTCCTTGAGAACGACCCCATTTTATCGTTAATCTCCTTCCACCTAATATTAATTTATTGAATGTTCTTTCAGCTGCTGCTTCGGCTGCACTTCTTTGCGTGTACTGAATAAAGGCACACTGTTGTCGTGGAACCATTGTCACAGAACGTATTTCACCATATTGGTAGAAATGGTCACGTAATTGTTTCTCTGTTAAAACATCACCCAAGTTTCCAATGTACAAAGTAGTTATAGATTTATCCTCTGGTGGATCTAACTTAGGCATTGCTGCTGCTCTTCGCATTAATTTGTCTGCCACAGGATCATTAACACCATAGTAACGATCTTTAATATTTTGATCTGCTAATGGATCATCCGGATCTGTTGGTTTTTCATGTCGATAAGGACACTCTTCTCCTCTTTTACATTCACCTTTTACCCAGAATGAACAGATATGTGGTCTGTTTCTTTTATAGTAGGGACTTGTCCTAGCCAATTTCATTAACAAATCACTAGCAGCAGCTGATTTACCAACAGCTCCAGCTGGTGTTGTTGCATCTATTTTTCCTATTTCATTATCTATGTTTTGTACATAGTATTCCTTATTTACATCAGATCGAGGTAAGTCATCCTTTATTTTTAATGCAGCATCACGTACTTGAATAGGTAATCCATATTCTAAGTCAAGTAAACAAGTTTGACATACATTCTTAAGTCGACTGCAAGTTTGACAAACTTCAGTTTTTTTGAATCGCATTCTTGCCCCTGGACACCATCTAAATACTGTAAATGGACGCATACAGATTTTGCATTCTTTTCCATACCTTTCTTTAGTCTGCAATAAAGAAATACAATTACATATGACAATTATTTTATACATGAAATACAAACCATAAAGTAATAATATATGTATAATATTTATGACAAATTTTGAATATTGGTTGATTGAATCCCGGATTTTCTATTCTTTAGGCTTCTACTTAAACCATTGAACTATCCAGGATCCTAGAATTAACCTTTTCACAAATGCTTACTTGTTTAGAATAGAAGTGCACTTGTCTACATAAATAAGATTAAAAGGACAAGACATAACCTAACTGGTTATTTCTAAATATAAAAAATAACGAACAATTACTCACCATGCGAATATATGGATTATCTCCTAAACAGGTTTGACATAATATAGGAAATTCCTAAAAACAATAATTGAAATTATTAGCAAAACTGATTTTCATAAGACCATATCTTTTTTACTATTTAGTATCAATATATTTCATTCAACTTACCGCATCTTCCCAATTTTGTCGATTATATGTATTAGTAGTTTTTGATGTTGCCATATTATATTATCTTAATATATTTTTTTAAACAAACCGTAATAACTTTTGACTTATGTGCAACTGAACTAATTGCGAACTACTGAATGCAATGCATAAGTAACCTTAAGTGTAATTTTCATTAGAATATGTAATGTAGCAGTGATACCGTATGTTAGTCGATAGAGGGCACCCAGAGAAGCGACACTAGATGACGTAATGATAAACTACAGCTGATCACTAATATCTCATTGGTTAACATTTACACCAATAGGAAAGACGCGTTGCACGTTGCAGTAAGGGCACGAATAATACTGAAGGATTTTCGTCCACTTATTTTTAATCCGGACGCCAAACAAAAACAGACGTTTTATTAGTCTCATTTATACCGCATGTAGTATTAAGGGATAAATACTCTTTATTACCAAACCACGTCTCTCGGATTCATTAACAAAAACAATAACTAAAATCTTATGTGGTGGAAATTATAAGTTCTGATAAAATAGCAAGGCGCATCCTCCACGATAAAGTTACATTACCAGTATTGCTCAATCAGTGGTTTACATGCCGTTAGTGGTTCGTAGACAAATTTTAGTGGTCTGTTGCACTTAGGAGAAATACTGATATATACAATTAGTCGTGATAATCTTGTGAAAATAAACGTTTAATTTTGAAACTGACTACTGTGGCACTTCGATCGCCAACAAGATTTGTATGTTATACTATTTCATATTATATTACTTTATGGTATACTACTTCGTGTTAAAAAGCATTTGAAGAAGTTGCAACGCAGAAATCGGTCAAACGAGTTTTCCAAAATGGCTACGACAGACTCTAAAGCACCCTTAAGAACTGTTAAAAGAGTACAATTTGGTATTCTTTCTCCAGATGAAATCGTAAGTAGAATTTTATTGTGATGAAGAACATGTTAAAAATATTATTTTATTCATACAGATGATAATAATAATAATAATATGACATGTAACAACGTTGCTTGGGTCTATGTCCCTATATTGCATTATTTTTGTAATCATTTATGTTTGTTCAATTTATTGAGAACATTATTTGTCGGTCTTGATTTGCTTTAAATACAATAATATATTACTTCAATAACAAAGATTTATACAATTAATGATATATTTACAATGTTGATATTAATTAAACAGGATTCAAATATACGTATACATGTCCTTAAATAATTTATTAATGTGAAGTAATAGTTATTTATTTTGTTAGTTTTATTATTTTAATATATTTTGTTTCTTTTTACAGCGTCGAATGTCAGTTACAGATATGGGTATACGTTTCCCAGAAACTATGGAAGGTGGACGACCAAAACTTGGTGGTCTCATGGATCCAAGACAAGGGGTGATTGATAGAAATTCTCGGTGTCAAACGTGTGCTGGTAATATGACAGAGTGTCCAGGTCATTTTGGACATATAGATTTAGCCAAACCTGTTTTTCATGTTGGATTTATTACCAAAACAATAAAGATTCTTAGATGCGTATGTTTTTACTGTTCAAAGCTACTTGTTAGTCCAGTAAGTATACATTGCTATATTATTTGTTTTTAATGATTCAATATAATTATCAAATGATAATTAATATATAAATTATCATTTATTTAAACAGCATAATCCAAAGATTAAAGAAATAGTCATGAAGACAAAAGGTCAACCGCGCAAAAGACTCACATTTGTATATGATTTATGTAAAAGTAAAAATATATGCGAAGGTGGAGATGAGATGGACATTAATAAAGAAAGTACAGATCAACAAGCAGCAGATAGAAAACCAGGGCATGGAGGTTGCGGTAGATATCAGCCTAATTTGAGAAGATCTGGATTAGATGTCACTGCAGAATGGAAACATGTTAATGAAGATTCTCAAGAGAAGAAGATTGTTCTTACTGCTGAAAGAGCATGGGAAATTTTAAAGCACATCACTGACGAAGAATCATTTATTCTTGGTATGGATCCTAAATTTGCAAGACCAGATTGGATGGTCGTTACGGTGTTACCAGTTCCACCTTTATCAGTGAGACCGGCTGTCATCATGTATGGATCTGCTAAAAATCAAGATGACTTGACACATAAATTAGCAGATATAATCAAATCAAATAATGAATTATTAAGAAATGAACAAGCTGGTGCAGCAGCACATGTTATATCTGAGAATATTAAGATGTTACAATTTCATGTAGCAACATTAGTAGATAATGATATGCCTGGTATGCCAAGAGCAATGCAAAAATCTGGAAAGCCATTAAAGGCTATAAAAGCAAGATTAAAAGGGAAAGAAGGAAGAATAAGAGGAAATTTAATGGGAAAGCGTGTAGATTTTTCTGCACGTACTGTTATTACCCCAGATCCGAATTTAAGAATCGATCAAGTAGGCGTACCTCGTAGCATTGCTCAAAATTTAACATTTCCAGAAATTGTAACACCTTTCAATATTGACAAAATGCAAGAATTAGTAAGACGTGGTAATTCACAATATCCGGGTGCGAAATATATAGTTAGAGATAATGGAGAACGTATAGATTTAAGATTTCACCCAAAGCCTTCTGATCTTCATTTACAATGTGGATACAGAGTAGAGAGGCATATCAGAGATGGAGATTTAGTTATTTTTAATCGACAACCAACTCTCCATAAAATGAGTATGATGGGTCATAGAGTAAAAGTTCTCCCATGGAGTACTTTCCGTATGAATCTTAGTTGTACTTCACCATATAATGCTGATTTTGACGGAGATGAGATGAATCTTCATGTTCCACAATCAATGGAAACGCGTGCGGAAGTTGAAAATATACACGTAACTCCTCGTCAAATTATTACACCACAAGCAAACAAACCAGTTATGGGTATTGTGCAAGATACTTTAACTGCTGTGAGGAAAATGACTAAAAGGGACGTTTTTATAGAAAAAGAACAAATGATGAATATACTTATGTTTTTACCTAGTTGGGATGGAAAAATGCCACAACCATGTATATTGAAACCAAAACCTCTTTGGACCGGAAAACAAATATTCTCCTTGATCATTCCTGGAAATGTAAATATGATTAGAACACACAGTACACATCCAGACGAAGAAGATGATGGACCTTACAAATGGATTTCACCTGGTGATACAAAAGTTATGGTAGAACATGGAGAATTAGTTATGGGTATTCTGTGTAAGAAAACTTTAGGTACATCAGCAGGATCCTTACTTCATATTTGTATGTTGGAATTGGGTCACGAAGTATGTGGGCGTTTTTATGGAAATATTCAAACTGTTATCAATAATTGGTTATTGTTAGAAGGCCATTCAATCGGTATTGGCGATACTATTGCTGATCCTCAAACATATTTAGAAATTCAGAAAGCTATTAAAAAAGCCAAAGAAGATGTAATAGAAGTTATTCAAAAAGCTCATAATATGGAGTTAGAACCTACTCCTGGTAACACCTTGAGACAAACATTCGAAAATCAAGTAAACAGAATTTTAAACGACGCTCGTGATAAAACTGGTGGCTCTGCCAAAAAATCCTTAACTGAATATAACAATTTAAAAGCCATGGTCGTATCAGGTTCTAAAGGATCAAACATTAATATTTCTCAAGTTATTGCTTGTGTGGGGCAACAAAACGTCGAAGGTAAACGAATACCTTTCGGTTTTCGCAAAAGAACTTTACCACATTTTATCAAGGATGATTATGGTCCTGAATCCAGAGGATTTGTTGAGAATTCTTATCTAGCCGGTCTTACACCGTCCGAATTCTACTTCCATGCTATGGGTGGTCGTGAAGGTCTTATCGATACTGCCGTTAAAACTGCTGAAACAGGATACATTCAGCGTCGTTTAATAAAGGCTATGGAGTCTGTAATGGTTCATTACGATGGAACTGTAAGAAATTCTGTTGGACAACTTATCCAGTTGCGTTATGGAGAAGATGGTTTATGTGGTGAAACAGTCGAATTTCAAAACTTACCTACTATTAAACTTAGTAATAAAGCATTTGAAAAGAAGTTTAAATTTGACCCAACCAATGAACGGTATCTGAGACGCATTTTTAATGAAGATATCGTCCGTGAAATGATGGGATCGGGTGAAGTCATTTCCGAACTAGAAAGAGAGTGGGAACAACTGAATAAAGATAGAGCTACTCTTCGTGAAATTTTCCCTAGTGGAGAATCTAAGGTTGTATTGCCATGCAATTTACAAAGAATGATTTGGAATGTACAAAAAATCTTCCATATCAACAAAAGAGCTCCTACAGATCTTAGTCCTATGAGAGTTATACAAGGTTTTTATAATAATATTTATAATTATAATTCTTTGATATTGTGAATATAAAAAGAAAATATTTAATCTTTAATTCGTTTCCTTTTATTTTAGGTGTAAAAGATCTTTTAGAGAAATGTATAATTGTAGCTGGAGATGACAGATTAAGTAAACAAGCTAATGAAAATGCAACATTGTTATTTCAATGCTTAGTGAGATCAACTTTATGTACAAAATGTGTATCTGAGGAGTTCCGACTTTCCGGTGAAGCATTCGAATGGCTTATTGGAGAAATAGAAACTAGATTCCAACAAGCACAAGTATGATTAATATAAGTTATTCAATTCCATTGATAATTATGTTTAAATAAATAACAAATGTTAATTGATTTTTGTTAGGTATCACCAGGTGAGATGGTAGGTGCGTTAGCTGCACAATCTCTTGGTGAACCAGCTACTCAAATGACACTGAATACGTTTCACTTCGCTGGAGTTTCATCGAAGAACGTAACTCTTGGTGTACCCCGATTGAAAGAAATTATTAACATTAGTAAGAAACCAAAAGCACCTTCACTAACAGTATTTTTAACTGGTGCTGCTGCCAGAGATGCCGAAAAAGCGAAAAACGTTTTATGTCGTCTGGAACATACTACTTTGAGAAAAGTTACTGCCAATACTGCAATCTATTATGATCCTGATCCACAAAACACTGTCATTGCCGAAGATCAAGAGTTTGTCAATGTATACTACGAGATGCCAGATTTCGATCCAACTAAAATATCACCGTGGCTATTACGTATCGAATTGGACAGAAAAAGGATGACTGATAAAAAGTTAACCATGGAACAGATTGCAGAAAAAATAAATGCAGGTTTTGGTGATGATTTAAATTGTATATTTAATGATGATAATGCGGAAAAATTGGTATTACGAATTAGGATTATGAATAGCGAAGATAATAAGTTCCAAGATACAGAAGAAGAAACTGTAGATAAAATGGAAGATGATATGTTCCTTCGATGTATCGAAGCTAATATGCTTAGTGATATGACTTTGCAAGTATGTTAATTTTTAAATTCGATAATATATAAATGATTATATATAATATATTTAAAAAATAAAGACTTATTTCTTACTTTTTTCAGGGTATCGAAGCCATTGGTAAAGTGTATATGCATTTGCCACAAACTGATTCGAAAAAACGTATTGTTGTAACTGAGACAGGCGAATTTAAAGCAATAGCAGAATGGTTGCTTGAAACTGACGGAACAAGTTTGATGAAAGTTTTAAGTGAAAGGGACGTTGATCCAGTTCGAACATTTAGTAATGATATTTGCGAAATTTTCCAAGTATTGGGTATCGAAGCTGTACGAAAATCAGTCGAAAAAGAAATGAATGCCGTGTTACAATTTTATGGTCTTTACGTAAATTATCGACATCTTGCTTTACTTTGCGACGTTATGACCGCTAAAGGTCATTTAATGGCTATAACACGTCATGGAATTAACAGACAGGATACCGGAGCATTGATGAGGTTACTATATATGACACATTATTTTATGTTAACTAATCGGAACAAATAGTAAAATCCATTTCATTATTACAGATGTTCCTTTGAAGAAACGGTCGACGTTCTGTTGGACGCTGCTTCGCATGCTGAAGTCGATCCGATGAGAGGAGTTTCTGAAAATATTATTATGGGTCAACTCCCACGTATAGGAACTGGTAAGAAACAATTTAATAGAAACAAAATTGATGATAACTGATATTAAAATACTAATCAAATCACAAAATGTGTAATTTTAAAAATGATTATATCTTACATTTGTTCATATTCTATAGGATGCTTCGATTTACTACTCGATGCAGAGAAATGCAAAGCTGGAATTGAGATTCCAATGGCAGTAGGTGTTGGTGTAATGGGATCTGCTGGTATGTTCTTCGGTAGTGTTGCAACTCCGAGCATGAGTCCTCAAATGACACCATGGATGGGTGCTACTCCTGGTTACGGTGCATCGAGTATGTCGCCTGGTATGTTTTCATATATGTATTATATGAAAATATATGTACATAATATATGTTCATATTTGTTCAACGCGTTTGGCCACATTCTATTTTATATGAAATAATTTCTGTTTAGCTCTTGGCAGTGGAATGACACCAGGAGGTGCTTGTTTCTCACCATCAGGTGCATCCGATGCTTCAGGGTTATCTCCTGCATATTCTGCTTATTCTCCACAACCAGGAAGTCCTGGAAGTCCAGGGCCAAGTATGAGTCCTTATCCAATGTCACCAGCCGGTGGTGCTTCACCAAGTTACTCACCTACATCACCAGCTTATTTACCAACATCACCAAGTATGACACCATCAAGTCCAAATTATTCGCCAACCAGTCCAACATATTCGCCAACCAGTCCAAACTACTCACCTACGTCACCGAGTTATTCACCAACAAGTCCAAGCTACTCTCCAACTTCACCAAGTTATTCACCAACTAGTCCTAGTTATTCACCTAGTTCACCTAATTACACACCAGCCTCACCATCTTACTCGCCTACCAGTCCAAGTTATTCACCAAGTTCGCCTCAATATTCACCGGCTAGTCCAAGCTATTCACCTAGCAGTCCAAAATATTCACCAACGAGTCCAAGTTACTCGCCGACTTCGCCGAGCTATTCACCAACAAGTCCAAGTTATTCACCGACGAGTCCAAGTTATTCACCAACGAGTCCAAGTTATTCACCAACAAGTCCAAGCTACTCTCCAACTTCACCAAGTTATTCACCAACTAGTCCTAGTTATTCACCTAGTTCACCTAATTACACACCAGCCTCACCATCTTACTCGCCTACCAGTCCAAGTTATTCACCAAGTTCGCCTCAATATTCACCGGCTAGTCCAAGCTATTCACCTAGCAGTCCAAAATATTCACCAACGAGTCCAAGTTACTCGCCTACTTCACCTTCATTTGCTGGAACCTCGCCACAATATACTCCAGCGAGTCCAACATATTCTCCAACAAGTCCAACTTATTCTCCGACTAGTCCATCTTATTCTCCAAGTTCTCCACAGCACACAGCTACTGGTAGTACAAGATATTCTCCTAGCAGTCCAAATTACTCGCCGACGAGTCCTACGTATTCGCCAACGAGTCCACAGTACTCACCATCGAGTACGAAATATTCTCCTACAAGTCCTACTTACACTCCGACGAGTCCTAGTTATTCGCCGACGAGTCCAACTTACTCTCCTCCGGTACCTGGTTACTCGCCTACGAGTCCAACTTATTCACCGCAATCACCCGCTTATGAAACGGACGATTAAGGTGTATCCTATTTTTAAATTGTTATTCTTAAATATTCATTGTAAGACCTGTATTATTGACTGTAATTATAATAGTATGTTATTATAGTTGGTTTTTATATGTTTTTTTTTTCTTTTTTTTTTTTCTCAATTCTTACAATTTTATTTTGTATTTCATATTTGATATTGAAAATGTGTGGTCATAATTTAATTCATTCCAAATACGTTACGATTAAAGATGATTCTTCTTTGGTTTTAAATTTTACTTATTTTTAATATATTGTTAAATTAAATACAATATTAACACGTTTAAGTTATACATCTGCTTTGATCATTCGAAAGGCTTACATAGTATAGAAAACGTATACATATAACCGAGACTGGAGAAGTTGTAAGTCTTCTTACCACGCTCCCACAGTCTCTGAGTTGACCACGACTTGCGTTCGATAGGATATATCAAGTTACTTGCTGACTGTTAACGTACGCAAAGGAAGGAAACCGGTTCATTTTCTTTCACACATATTTTCAAGCCAGTGCTGATGGTGTCTCATCATGATTCGCGAGAGTGTACCTCTTCTATTTAAAAACGTTAATTCAGATCTTTCATTGTTTTTCGCTACCTTGTGTATCGTTGATATATTCGGTGTTTTTCCAATAATTGCTTTACCAAGTTCGATCGTTCAGTGTGGTGAGTTGTTGTTGTTGTTATTATTTAATTCTTTTTTCTATAATTTTTTTTATTTTGTTTTCGACAATACGAACTTCGTTTCCTTCCTGCACGATATTTCTTCTCGTTATTTGTACATAAGAGATTAAATTTTGTGATAGCGATTGAACGCTAAGCGATTTGAAAATTTGTTTAAGAAAAAAAAAAATAAATAAATAAGAAAGTTCTCTTACGAACATTTACGTAAAAGTCGCAAATTGGTATTTATTTAAGCGAGCAATTTTTATATATATATACACATATATATATATATATATATATATATATATATATANATATATATATATATATATATATATATATATATATATATATATATCAAAATAAGAATATACGTAAATGTATTATATACGCGGTGTGTAATGGAGAAAATTTAATATTTTAACAAAAAAGAAAGAGAGAGAGAGAGAAACAAAAAAAAATAACATTACTTATAACAATAATAATAATAATAATAATTGTTAAGATTACTTGGAAGCAGAATGATTTCGCTCAGAATTACAAAAGATACTTTGAATTTATTTGCATATAAATTATTGACAACGTGTTTAAAAAAAAATCATGACTAGATGAGTCAAAAGCAGTGTGTTAAATTGTAAAAGATAAAAATCACTATCAACTAGTCAACTATCTATCTTTAACAATAATAATAATAAGATATTAATAATCTTGTTAAACATTTGATAAAAATAACGTGTTTTGAGTTATAAACAAATAATTCTGTGCGTTTATAAATGCAACCTGACGAAATAAACCGATTATTTTGCGAATATATTCGGTTATATTTAAAATACAAGTATTATATATACACACATATATTAGGGTAATCTGAAAAATTGGCGATTCTTTATGTTTCTCTTTTTAAAAAAAATATATACATATGTATTATATCATACATTTAAGGAAAGAAACATTTGAAATTTTTCACATTATCCTCGTATATAATAAATACATGTATTACATATAAGACAAATAGATGATACTTTTGGAATGTGTGATTTGAACTCGATCGTGAATCTTGATGATCTCTCGACGAGTCCAATATTAATACGTACAACAAAAAAGCGACAGATGTCAAATGTTGTTTTAGGATTATTTGGCATACCTTTGGTTTTCGTTGTTTTTGGATTACAAATATACACAGCTGCACTACTTGGAAAATCATGGATTGTAGCTACCACCTTGGATCCTATGATCTTACGAAAAAATCGGTAGGATTATAATTGGAAAACAACAAAATCACAAGATAAAAAATAAAAGAATTGGTTTACCGATTTAATTATCATAACGTTTTTTTTTTTTATTTTTATTTTCGGATAATAATAAATCTAATCAATTGTTAGAAAATTGTTCTCCAATTGAACATTTCATTTACTCTTAGGTATCCTTTAGCAGCGGTAACCGAATTAACGTTGGGTCCACGAGCACGAACTATTGTAACTTTTCTTTTGGATCTTACAATTTTTGGTTGTGGAATACCTAATTTATTAGTCGGTAGGTCAATTATAATTATATAATAATAATAAAGGATATAAATAATAATGATATAAATAGATAAACACAAAAAAAAGCGAAGAAAAACATCAAAAGAGTATAAAAAGTGAAAAATAAATAAATTAACAGAAAAAAAAATATATTACATTTATATATTATACTTTTTTTTACGTTTAAGTAATTTAAGAGATACATTGTATAAAATTACAGTAATGATTTATTACGCACGTTAATAAAATAAAATAAAACAATTGAATATAATATATATAAGGTAAAAAAAAAAAACAAAGTTTCAATGTCTTATTTCAATTAGAGGTAAGAATGTAAAAAATATAATGCACATGGATCATTTCACCAAATAAAATCATTTTTACGGGGCGACCACTACTGATTCTTTCAAACCTCAGCTTTCAGAAAAAAAAAATATCAAATTTGAAGTAACATGCGTCGCACAATGAGAAAAATTGATTTTTCCCACTTAAATTAGTTTTTAAAGGGTATTCTGTTGCATTTGATAAAAAATTAATATCCCTATTGAAACACTGAAAATTTTTCCTACAAAAAATTATCATTGTCAAATTTTAATAAAAAAAAGTTTAATTCGTTAAAATAATTAATGAATAAGTTTAAAAAAAAAATTTATTTTTTTTTAAATTCCAAAAATCATAACTTAAAAATGGCTGCATATTAAGAGCTCAAACTCTGAGGAAGTTTTTTTTTACAATGTAGAGAACATATTTACGAGGTTTGAAAAAAATCAGCGAGGTTCGCCCCGTAAAAATGATTTTATTTGGTGAAATGACCCCCATATATATATATATATTTATTAAATTATTTTATTCCGTTTTAGCATCACAAAATTTACAAATGTTCGGAGTTAGGATATCCGATCAAAGATTTGACGTTTCTTTTTGTTACTGGTTACTTGTCGTTGGTATGCTACTCTGTCCTTTCATGTGGTTAGGAAGTCCACGAGATATGAAGTAAGAAGATATTCATGATAATTAATCTTCTCAATTTCTTCTCCATAATAATAAGTAGATAGTACAATTACTTAGAACGATATTATATATTTTCTTCGAGATTAATTTCATTCTTGCATTATTCCACTTATGATTTTTGATCTTATAATGTTTTTTTTTTTTTATTAATTTTTTTTTTTTTTAATTGTTTTAGATGTTTTAGATATAAAACATATTTTTATAAATATTATAGATGGTTAGCAATGTTTTCTTGTGTTACCGTAATTTTTACCGCAATACTGATTTGGTGGTGCATCATTAACGATGATCGAATTATCGATCATATACCGATTCCAACTTCACCAACTTGGGATAAATTTATATCTGGGTATATATATAAATATAATAATATTATATATTTAGTTATATTGTTTATATAAATTAAAATATCAATTCTTATAGAGATTTAATTGTAAGAGGCTCTATTGATAAACAATTATAATTTTTCTCATATACTTTAATTGCTTTTTACTTTTAATTTAAATTAAATATTGTAGTATCGTTTAATTACGACAATTATTATAATATAATAATCTATTATAATTTATTAACTTTAGTTACGGCATGTTGGCATTTTTATTCGACATACATCCAACGTTGATGACCGTTCAAGTTGATATGCACAATCCTCGTGATATCAATAAAGCTGTTATTTTATCGTTTTTTGGTAAGAAAAAAATGATCTAATTGTATATTTAAAAAAAAATTTATTTAATTATGAACATTTATTATAATTACTGTTTATGATTTTTAAACGTTAATGTGTTAAAAATGAATAAATTGATGATTATAGTAAGCGTATTACTATTTGGAATAACAGCGGGATTGGCAATGTGGAAATACGGAGGAAGCATAACAGCTAATATTCTTCAGATAGTGCCAACAGGATTTGCAATAAATGGTGCTATATTATTAGCTGCTCTTCAATTATGCTTATCCAGTGCATTAGGTCATTCGGCACTTTTTCAACATTTCGAAGATAAACTTCGAATAGATAGGTGTAAGTATAAAAATATTATTATGTGCTGATTCACATGTTTTTTTTTTTTATTGTTTACTTAACAATTAAATATATTGCTTTGAGGTAACAACAGATAAAATTTTTAAACACACAGATTAATTTTATACCTTGGATAATTGACTTAACTTAACTAACGATAAGATTAGAAAGATGAAATTTGTAATATAATAATCATTGTGCTTATTCTTCTTCTTCTTCTTCAAAAAAAAAAACATATTTACGATTAAAAATACACGTTATACCTGTTCTTTTTTATTAACTTATTTATTTTGTTAATTATAATTACAGCATGTGGATGGAAACGTTGTGCAATAAGATCAATAATTGTTTTTTGTGGAGTTGCTGTAGGAGAAATGGTACCACGTTTCGACATAGTAATGGCTCTGATTGGTGGATCGTTAATGGGCCCATTGATTTTCATACTTCCTCCATTGATGTACGCCAGAGCGATAGCTTTGAAAAATAGCGCGAATCGCATCTTGTCGCCTGAAATTTATTCTGCTACTGTAAGACAATTAAATTCAATCGATACTAATTCGGATCCAAGAATTCATTCAAGATCAGTTTACGATGGTTTTTTGGGTGTTACTACTATACCGCATCGACATTCGTACGTTTATTATTACGAGATGGAAAATGAAATTTATGACGATGAACGTACAGAAGGTGAGGAGATTAATCGTGAAGATAATTATTCTAACGTTATAAATCTTAATGAAAGTTCATTAATGAGGAAAGATCATCAAGAGGAAGCTATCTTTATCGACGCTAGTCAACCATCTTTAAAAAATTATCGAAGACAAGAACTCCTGATGCAACAACCATTATCTAAATCTCACATACTTAGTGATCTTAAACAAACGATGAATTGGTTCGGTTATTTGATAGTTATTATTGGAATAGGAATAACTATATCGTCTACTTACATTAATATTAAAAATACTATTCGTTATGTACGTTTTACACCTCCGTGTATTGTTAATGCTACCATTGTATAAAATCCCATGTAATTTTATTTTTTCGTATTTTATATTTTATTTTTTTTTTTATTTTTTATTTTTATTTTTTATTTTTTAAAGATAAAACTTTGTGTACGCAGCATTTAAGTTTTCGTTTATTATGTATTTTATTTGTTGTATAGTGTATTTTTATATATCAAATAATATCATATTAATGATTAAAATGATTTTTAAGAAGAAACGTGATATTTGGGAGAATTCATGAAAATTGTATAATCTCGTAAGAAAATATAATATATTTGTACATAAATATTCATATATATAAGGATGGGTTGAAAAGTTTTGAGCTTTAACAAAAAAAAGAAACTAATTTTTTTATTTAATCAAAATGAGTTTCACCAATAAAACGATTGCTTCTATGTTGAGCTTAAATTTTGTCAATCCATCAAGGTACAGCAAACAAATATTAATTTCTTATCAAAGATTTCCGACGATGCAAATATCAACTAATGTTATCTGACATTTATGATTAAAAGTAAGGTATTTTCTTAAAAAAAAAAAATAATTTTAAACTGTCTAACTCTCTTCTATATAAATATAAAATTCCTTATAGTTGTAAGATCGGCTTAAGAAAATCAAAATGTGAAGGTTTTCTAGCGGGAAATTCAAAATATTGAAATTATATTATAATAAATAAATATATTTCTTTTTATAATAAAATTTATATATTTTCATATTAATATATGTTAAAATATTGAATAGAAAAATAAGATATTTTGATATTCGGATAATGCGTTTGAATAATTTCAAGAGGAAGTTTAAATTTATAAATGACACATTAATAAACATTTTTTCTGCTTTAATTAAAAAAATAAATTTACTTATATAATTAGTAAATAATGTAAGAAATTACGAAAACTTGCAATAATTATTATCTTATATAATAATTAAGTATTATTTTTGTACAGATTTTTATTTTATCAATCATAAAGATGTCATTGTCACGTGGTTCTCACGTAATGACCGCCATAAGTTAAAATCGCGTAGTGGGGGTCACATAGTCCAACCTGTCCTTTATACAACCTACATTTCGACATTACTAGGAATTATTCAGTGTGCCAAGTGTTGCTCCTCATCTTTTGACGTCATTTTATATATTATATCTACGAGAAAAACTATTCACCTTTTTTTATTTTAATTTTTTTTTATTCGCACTTGGTTTAAATTATTTAATCAAAATGATACCAAATTGTTTTAGAACTGCTGGTGCGCAAATATCTCGAAGAAATGTGAGTATATTAATATAAATGATAAACTTTTATGTTCCTCTCTTTTTTTCATTATTTCCAATAAGCTTAATATCATAAAGTCCTTCATTATAAAATGGATGCATATATTAATTTATTTTGCAATTTTTACAATAAAAATATATTTTCATATTTCTTTTAAACCTCGGACACTATGTCAGTTTGGAAATTGGAATAAGGTATGTGTTAAGTACTGTGTTCTTTTTGTTCAGTTGTTTTTACAATTGCACACTGAATATTGTTAACAATTAATTTAGTATTGTTATATTCATTTATGAGTTTTTTTAAAATGTAAACATAGAATTATAATCTCTTCATTGCTTTACTATCATAGTGTTCACAATGGTATATTTGATTTATTTTTGTTTAAACAATAAGATCTAAAAATATTCTAACTTTTCTATACGTCACATTTTTTAAAGTAAACAATATGAGGTATACTTGTAATTCTTCTTTTTAATATATTTATAGGTAATCTCATTCTTTAACAAAAAAAATAATTATGCAACTGAAGCGAGTTTTGAGACGAAACCTTTTCGCTTACATAAATTGGATAGTGGTCCATCTAATCATGTAACAGTAACCAAAAATGATGCTTTAGAAATATATAAACATTTACATACAATAAGACGTTTGGAAACATCAGCTGGTAATTTATACAAAGAAAAAATAGTCCGAGGCTTTTGTCATTTATATTCTGGTCAAGTAAGTAAAATCATATGTATTTTAATTTTTTATTATTACACTGATTCAACATTTAATTTTCTATGTACATGTTTTAGGAAGCATGTGCTGTTGGTATGAAAGCTGCCATGCGGCCACAAGATGCTGTAATCACTGCTTATCGTGCACATGGTTGGACATACTTAATGGGTATTGAACCTGTAGGTGTCCTTGCGGAACTTACTGGAAGACAATTAGGTAACGCTAGAGGCAAGGGTGGTTCTATGCATATGTATGCTAAAAATTTCTATGGAGGAAATGGTATTGTTGGTGCTCAGGTTTGTTTAACGATAGTTGTTTTTCATTGTCACAAAATAAGAAATCATATGCATAATCATTTAAAAAAAGATTTGATTTTTAGGTACCATTAGGTGTTGGTATCGCGTTTGCTCAAAAATATTTGAATACTGGAGGAGTGTGTTTATCTCTTTACGGAGATGGTGCTGCGAATCAAGGACAAGTATTCGAGGTATACAATATGGCTAAATTATGGGACATTCCTTGTATTTTTGTTTGCGAAAATAATGGATATGGAATGGGTACTAGCGTCGAACGTGCTTCCGCGAGTACAGAATATTATACTAGAGGGGATTACGTCCCTGGTATTTGGGTAAGTTTCTTTTTGTAAAAATTATGATTCTACATTTTATTCATTCTAATATCTCCTATTAATAATCAATAATTTAATTTATTATTATTATTATTAATATATAGTATTAATTATTTATTTATTAATAGGTGGACGGTATGGATGTTTTGGCTGTAAGAGAAGCAACAAAGTTCGCCATAGAACATTGTACATCTGGAAAGGGACCCATTATCTTGGAAACTGCCACATATAGGTACAGTGGACATAGTATGTCCGATCCAGGAACAAGTTATCGTACTAGAGATGAGATACAAGAAGTACGACAAACAAGAGATCCTCTTACAAGTTTTAAAGAGAGATTATTAAGTACTAATCTTGCTACTGCAGATGAACTTAAGGTTACACATATTATATTATATTTTGTTGTTTCTTATTTAATTCTAAAGAAAATTAATTACATATATATATATATATTAATTTTTTTTTGTATAGACAATGGAAAGCGAGATTAGGAAGAAGATAGATGATGCTGTAAAAGTTGCTAAAGCGGATAAAGAAATTCCATTAAGTGAATTAAGTGCAGATATTTATGCCAATTGTTTAGAGAAAGAAATTCGAAGTGTCACACCATTTAAATCATTGTCGCACGTTAGATTGAGCACTCCTGTTAATCTGTGAACAAAATTAGAATCATTGCTTCACTTTACGTGTCGAATATATGTATTAAAATAATTATTTTAATGCTTATTATATCTCTTTTCATATACACAGTTCATCAAAATGTTCGCGCCCTTTTCTCCACATTCAAAATTAGGAAAAATCTGTGTCTCTCTAAGTTTATTAAGTTAATTTAATAAATTCTATAATAATAGGATTTATTAAATTTATACTTTGTATATTTCTTGTATAGTTGAATATTTATAAAAAACAATATTAGAAAGATACATAGAATACTTGAAAATAGTCTATGCTAATAACAACTTTATAAATAAAATAATGAATAAGGGGGAACACTTATAAACATTATTAACTTAATTATCCTGAAGGAAAGACCTAATTATGTTAACAATCAAGCAAAAAGGTTTAATTAAAATTATATTACAAAGATCGAACTTTCAGGTTATATCGTTTTATACATGCTGATATACATACAAAAAAATATAGGTTACGAATAAATAATTTAATATCAAGGCACTGAATTAACTTCTGCACATAATATTTTCAAAAATAAATAAATTCTCTAACTGGTTTGTATAAAAAAAAAAATTAGGCGGGAAAATGCCTAAATCATTTTTTTCTTTAACGCGTCCCTACGAACACAGCGCCATTTTCCTAAACTACGCTCGATGCTGATTGGTTTTTGATATGTTCATTAGCCATCACTTATTGGCTAGAGTTATTTTTCTCTCTGAGTTGTCAACTTAAGTATAATGTTTACCATGAAATATTGTTTTCAGTTTGTTTGAACGAAGGCAAAGTATTAAAGACGATAAATTTTGATATTTATTAATAACATTCTATTAACATGGCTTCTGTTTTCAATGTATTTGAAAACCATATGAGTGAGTATATTTAAATAGGTTTTTATATTATTTTTAACACTACGAAATTAATTACAATTACTGTCATTGTAACTATAAATTAATCCTACTTGTTATATGATTTATAGTGTCAACAACAGAACACTTCAAAGACAAAAAATTAATAAATCATACAAGTGCTATTATGGCTAAATCTTTTGATCAATGCAAACCAAAAGGTTTATCAATAAGATCTAAATCTGATCTGAATATTGCAGCAAGTAGTTCTCCAAAAACTTTTAAGAAAGACGAAAGTAATAATTCATTTCTCCCGAAAAATGAATTGACTAACGTAAGCATATTTATTAATTTACAATTATTTAAATAATATTATTTATTGAATACTCTTATGTAGATAGTTTTAATATTGTTTTATTGTAGAAGCAGTTACTTTCTGTACCCACTGAAATTGCTAAAACAGAATCATTTGAATTTAATAAAGATAAGAATTTTGAACAAAACATCTTAAAATTCAAAGAACCATATGCAGTAGAAAAAGATATAGAAAATAGTATATTTTCAGAACCAGAAGATTTAGCACCATATTATGATCCAGAACTGGAATTGAGTATGTACATATACATTTGATTCAATTATTTTTCTTTTTTTAATATAATTTATAAAAAAGATTTAAGATACGTTAATATTTATAATAACATTTCTTTTGTTTTTTTGTTTGTTACAGATGATTACAATATTAATTTAGAAAATGAATTTAGCAAATGTATGTTGCATGCACAAGATGACACAGATGAAGGATTTGGATCAGGTAAAAAAGATAATAAATTATTTTAACGTTTGATTATATATTACATGTTAATGCAGATAATAATACCTTCTTTTGAAATAGACATGGAGGAACTTTCCTATCCTGAAATGACGATACATGAACAATCAATGCAATTTTCTGATTATGATTGTGGATCTCCTAATTTATCAGAAATATCCGACAATGAAACTTTCTAATTACACTGACTGAAACGTTTAATTTTACAAAGTCTTGATAACATAACATTTCTATTGGTGATTTATTTATAATACGTATTACAAATAAATTGAATTTTGTGTTTAGAATATTAAACTAATATAAATTATTTAATATAATATAATTTTGTGATTCTTTTTTACTTTTGATTATATAGATATATTTGGTGTTTTTTTTTTTTTATTATAGTATTACATTGCTGTATATTGTCGCTATTTTTATTTAAATAAATATTATTTTAACAATAATCTTGGATTTAACTAACTTGAAGTTAATTTAATAAAATTTTGTTGACTAATGCAGTTAATGTGTGAAAAATAATTGAAGATAATATATTTACAATATATAACATATTTAAAATATTTTGGAATATTTAATCTGAGTAAAAAAAGAAAAAAAGAATATGTCAGCCGATAAATGTATTATAATAATAGCAGGAATACCAGAAGATGTATATTTTTGTCATTTATGTTACATAATAGAAAATTTGAAGATGATGTTAAAATATTTTAAGTATAAAAAGATTTTTAAAAGTGCAGCTGAATGGAAGGTTAATGTTTAGTTTAACGTTTACGTACTTATATATATATATTATTTTAATAATATAAGTTATTCTATTTTAAGCCATGGCTACAAAAAATTTGTTACCGTTGGAATTGGTCACATAAAAAGTCACCATTGATTTGGAGAAAAGTTGGTTTATCTAAAAATAATGTTACTTACATCGGAAGTATTACTCAATTTTGGGAATTTTTACAAACGCATTATAATATTAGTACTTGTATTATGCAAGATGATCTTAAACGATTACAATTGGATTATTTACTTGTAAGAAAAATATTAAATTATAATAATAAAGCTGTTATAATTATCGGCATTATTACAGATGTATGAAGCAACATTAAAATTACCACCTGTGAAAACGTCACTTATACAACATCGTTGCATTACAGTAATAGGTGCTGGAAAAGCATTATGTTTAGACTTAATCCCACAATTAATAACAACTAAAGAGTTATGGTTAACGAATGGTATTATTGTTAATTTATATGATGAACCTGGTTGTTATTTTAAAATCAAACATATTGTTAAGGATATGGAGGCCATAGGAGGTGGTTTGTATGCAACAAGAATCATAGAAAATATTTCAGATGGATTATGTGATTGTGATATATTAATTAACTTAGACGTTATATCGAAGTATGTCTTTGAATTTTTGAGTTTTTTTTTTTTTAGCAAAATCTAAGATACATGCTGAGACAATTTTAGGGAAGAAAATGAAAGTACTAATTCTTGGTTACGAAGTAATTATGATAGTATGGCTAAATTAGCAAGGCAGATAAACCGATATGCACCTTCTGAAATGAAAGTTCTTTTTTGTTCAACAAGTGCAAGTTGTTTTTGTGTAAATGTGCTTCATGCTTTAGTAACTAAATTGCCAAAGACTAGTATGGTAGCTGTTAGTACTCATTATGGGCTAGAAATAATGTATAATTTCATAACAAAATTTAATTTGCCTGTATACAATTTTGGGTGTCCTCCTGTATGGGGATTTTTGGGTTGGTTAACATATTTCAAGATAATATACATACCAATGTAATTTTGGTATTAATTTATTGAATGTATAGGAATTAATCGTTTTGTGGATGTATGTCATATGATCCAGAAATATGAAGTATACAAACCGAATAATAGAGCCATGTTTGCAGAAGAAGGTACTACATTACCATTGGGATTTAAATATCCAGAATTGCGATATTTTTTTTATTCAGCACACGATAACAACCCTTATAATGGTTATTTCGAACGTAAGGTATGAATCTTGAATATAAGATATAAATACAATCTATATTTTTCTTTGTAATGTATTATAAAGAAAAACATAAAAACATTAAATATATACTCCTTATATATTATAATATTATTTAGGCGATAACACAATATCAAGTTGGACGTAATGAGAATTTTCAAGTATGCAAAGCTATTTGCGATCTCTTAAAATTATGGTATAGCAGCGAAGAAAATATTGGAGATGAAATTATTTCTTTAGGAATATCTTCTGATGGTATTTAAATACAGTAACACATATAACGTATATATACAGGATGTCCTGTTTACACTCATTCAATTTGAATATAAATTTTAGGAACATTTGGAATTCCCGAAGGATTAGTATTTTCACAGCCTGTATATTTAACAAATTTAAAAGATGGATCACGCGTATGGATGCCATTTAATAATTTTCCATTACCTTGTATACCATTACACATATTTAACAATTTGATTTTAACTGCAGTCATTTTGAAAGAACAATTTATAAAAGAATATATAATTATTGCAAATGATTCAAAAAATTATAACATAAAAAAAATGTAAGAAGAAAATAAAAAATAAAAAATTTGAATTATTTCTTATTTTATCTTAATTTGATATTGATAAATAGAAGAGAAAGAGGATAAGGTGAAAATAAACAAGAAAAATGACGCAATGGAGAATTCAAATTAACGCGCCAATTTTAATCCGTAGACGCATGTGGTATAATTTCAGAAGAAAATAAAATAGTTGAACATTTTAGCTATAATTAAACATTAATTCTAATTTTTTATTTCTTTTCGATCGTTTATAAAATTCTATAAATTAAAAAATTGTATAAAAAAGTTTGTTATTGCAATAGGACGGCTTGATGTTCGTGGAGCGATTGAAATTTAGAGGTTAAAATAATTTTTATGATTTGTGTGGTTTGTATAATTGAAATATAGTAATAATTAAATAATAAGGTTTATTATTATAATTAATTGTTTTTCATTGTTTATTTACAATCTGTTTCATATAAGAATATATAATAAATAAACTTCTTATCAGAATATAAACATATAATATATTAATATAAATTGTAAAGGATTATTGTAGGATATATATTCAAACAAAACATCTAGTTGAGAAACTTTTCAACATAAGGAAGCATTATGGACTCAGACGATCATCCAGGAGAAGATCACATATTAATAAAAAATGCTACACTTGTTGTAGTTGATGCGCCAAATAATATGGAGTTTGGAATAGATTTAAATTCTTGGGATATTAAAACTAATAAAAAGTATATGGGTATAAAATTCATACCTCCAGGATTCCGTTTTGTACATTATAGGTAATTTCAATAACTTTTGATTATATCTATCTGTGTATGTAAAGTATTTGTATTAATCAATATGGTGAATGTAGAGTAATAAGCTTCTTATTAATTATATACAAAAACAATATTTTCATAGAATAGAAGATTGTCATGGCGGACCATCATTTAGAATTGGTTTTATTCATTATTTTGAGAATGGTGAATTAATGGTCAAATGTTGGGATAAATCAACAAATGAAATGAGTGCTGATCGTAAGATATATTATTATTAACTAAATTTATTCGTTATTATTACATATATACATATATATATATATATATATATGTATTGTTTTTATATATATTATTATTATTATTTTAATATTATTTGATATATAGCTGTAGATGAAGATTTGCTTGTATATCTTCGAAACAGTCTCTTAGATTTAGATAAAGTTCTTGTTCCTTATTGCTTTGATTATATTGATAGATGGGAACGATTGACTGATAAAATTGATTTTGATGTAGTAAAACGTTGTAAACCTCTTTGTGGGTAAGTAATATATTTTTTTGGTGTCTATATTTTTTTTCTTTCTGTTGTACTTTTGTTTTACTTTTTAATTATTTTTATTTTTTAGTTTTATATATTCGGCTATGGAATTAGTGCCTTGTAGTAGTGATGCGGAACTCTCTACTAGTGTCTTAGAAACAGAAGAGAAAAGTGGAATACCACAAACTAGACCTATGCAGAATCGAATACCGAAATTATTGCCTAACTTAAAACCAAAACCTGGTTCAGAACTGAGATTAACACCAATACCTGACAAATATTATCCTGATAATGCAACTCCTGAACAAATTACAAGATATAATCTTGATTACAGTTATACTTGGGAGATTGTGCTTGCAAAAATAAAATGGTATGTTCATCAATTCTATTATTTTTTGTTTTTTTCTATAAACAGAGTATCGTGTAAATGGTGGTACAAGCGAGCAGTGGATGGTTCTATATGAAAAATTCAATTGAACAAGTAGAATAAAATTTGTTTCTATAAGACTTTGTTTTCGAGAAAAATGAATTTCATACCCTATATATTTACATTTTAATATTATTCATATGAAACTATAAACACATGCGTATATTTATAAAAATATTTTTTCAGTCAACCGGAAATACTTGGAGAATTGCAACTTACTTTCGTCTGTGTCTTAATAGGCCAAAATTGGGAAGCCTTTGAACAATGGAAAAAGATTCTCTCATTGATATGTGGTGTAGATGCACTTATACCAAGTTATAGATCTCTTTATTTAGAATTTTGTTGGACTATAGAAGCTCAGTTAGATTATATTCCGGAAGACATGTTAGTGGATGTTATTTATACTGAAAATTTTATTTATCACCACTTGCGTAAGTTATTTAGGAACATTGAACTTCATTCGGGCATAGATGCGCCTTTCAAGTTTATTGCAACACGATGCCGTGAACGAATATGTAATATGCTTAAGTGGAACTTTGGTGATTTACATGAAGAAGACGGAGAAGAAGCACCTATAATTGTAGATTAAATATTAATCATATTATCAATAAAAATGAATTTATGAAAGAACAATAATTTTTTTATTTAGCTTCAATTTTTATGGGTAAATTGCGTATAAATAAATATATAGCCAGTTAGGTAGTATATATGCATATTGTAAATAAATTATTGATCATCTTTTGTATATTTCATTTATCATCAAATATAAATAAATTTATACTATCACTTTTTGAATACAAAATTTGCAATAATAACATGGAGAAATTGATTAACCCTTTTCCGCGAGGATACTTTTATTGAATGGGTTACTGCAACTTGAAGCAACAAAACTGCACGAGAGACCGATTATCAACAGTCGAAACTCATTTTTGAAGAATTTTGTTGTTGATATTGACAGTTTTGTGTTCAAAAAAAAAAAAACTATAAAACTACATGTTCCGATATTTGATGTGCTATAACTGCATACGCACGTATGTAAAATATGCACTCGTAAAAACTAAAAACGTAGATTGTAAAAAAAAATGTTTCCGCCCGGGATCGAACCGGGGACCTTCCGCGTGTTAGGCGGATGTGATAACCACTACACCACGGAAACTTAGATGTTTACTGAGGGTTTTTAATAGTAAATTAATTGTATCAAGTTAAACTTTATTCATAATTTATAAAGAAACAAAATTTTTTTTATATTAATTGCGATTGTTAAATTAAATTGAATAAAATATGTTTTAATTTGCGGAGATTATTTTCTGAGTAATAGTACATATATATATATTTGGAAAGTTGTAATTAGTTATTTACACATAAATGTAATATATACATTAAATACAATTAAATATTTTATTTTAATTAAAAAGATTACATAAAATCATTACATAAATTTAGATATTATATCAGATAAGGAATATTACATAAAATTATTAGTCGACTATATTTATATATGGCATCATTAATTTAATTTAATCTTCTTATCAGGTAGATATCCGATGTCATCAAGAAACAAAATTTCCATTTTTGAATTGTGTTGTCTTATTGTAACTTGCGACTTGAATTATGATATATGCTATGGAATAAAAAGTTAAAATATTATTATTTATATATTAAGAACGTGTAAAAAATTATAACCAATGATATATGAAAATATTTTAGATTTCTTATATTCTTACCCAATATAAAAGATATAGAAACTAATATCGAAATGTTAGTTTTGTCAATAAGCTTCTCAACGAAGTCTCTATAATAAGAAAAAAAAAATTATTACCATTTTTCATAAATAAATATTTGTATAGCAACAAAAATATTGTGAAATAATCTTTCCAATATTTGTAATTGTTTGTTATGCTGTTCTTACAGGATGCGGTGGACGTGGAGGAACCTGTTGTGGTCTTGGTCTGGAAGGTTCAGGATCAGCTTCACGACGAAGTCTCTGAAATATGGAAATAAAATATAATTGATTGTTTTCTTCTAATACAGAAAACTTATATTCGAATACATTTCTTATTATATATAATTAGTTATATTTTTACCGGGTGAGGAGGACGTGGAGGAACCTGTTGTGGTCTTGGTCTGGAAGGTTCAGGATCAGCTTCACGACGAAGTCTCTG